CAACTACTTGCTATGGCTACTGAATTGGAATCCTGTGAATTTTAACATCTCATGATTCCAATTTCATGCCAACATCAATTCTCGTGGTGATCATGCGCGCGCATTTCTAGTTCGGTGATTTTACGTTTCTGGGGTCTACCACGGACTTACTAAAAAATTTCGGGCCGACTGTACCCCAGCCCCCAAGTTCACACTCTTTGATTTTCATTGGCTGCCGATCCTGCCGGATCGCCAACTTCAAGTCTTTACTTCTGTCCATTCAACAAATTCCCGCCAGAACAGACTCACTGTTAGCACACTGCGTTGTCGAAAATAACATTTTGGTGGTGGACGTGTTGCAACAAATCATTTGTTATCAACATTCCAGTAAATTATCAAAATGGTAAAAGCTCCAATGGACGTGTATCGTCAAACTTTAGCTGGATACATTGATGATGATGATAAATTGGTAAGTATTTCCCTACTTAACCCCTTAAATTTTTAACGAGTAAATTTTTAATCCAAGTCGAAAGTCGAAAATAAGATCTTGAAATATTAATTGTGACAGGTGACTTATAAATGGTTAAGCAAGGAGCTGGAGGTTCACGTGAATACAGCAAAAGCAATTCTAGAAGATTACTGGGAAAGGCACAAGAATGATGGAATTGTTGCAACGGTGATGCTAATTGGGCACACAAAGGATGCAGCAATTCGAGTTGAAGTCGTTAAAGAGTCTGATCTTGAGGAAGCCTCCAAAAAGTACGACAAGATCATTTCTCAGCATCTATACAGTCTCCAGAAGACTCTGCCCAACATTGAAACGTTGGTGAATGCTGGAAGAGGTGATACTAAATTTGCAGCAATAAAATGTAAAGAGGCGGTGATTCTCAGTGATGAGGAGTTATTTTCAAGGAGATGGGGTTCTACAATCGAGTACCAAGCCCCTTTTGACGAGAAGAATCAACCACCTCCTCCTCCAGTTAAGACAAAAGAGCCAGTGAATCCATTGAAACAAGCTTTTGCTAAAGCTAAACCTGCAGAGGAGATAGAGAAAGAGAAAGAAACTAGCAAAGCAGAATCTAAAACTGAAGTGAAAAAAGTCTCACCTCCCGGTAAGAATGGGGATAAAAGAGGCGTTATTTCAAAAAAACCTGTGCAATCCACTCAAAAAGGATTCAGCGCTCTTTTTGGGAAAGTACAGAATCAAAATCAGAAGAAGTCACCTCCATCTACTTCAAATGAAGCCAAACTCGCTGATACTTCAAAAACACCTATAAAGGCAAATTCAAAGAGTAATGGTGAGAGCCCCATGGATATGGATGACCAAGTCATTGAAATAAAACCTCATGAAAAATCTAAAGAAGAAACATCATCCGCAGTTAAAGAAAAGTCTCCAGAAAATGTTAAAAGTCAATTGGCCTCCTCCAGGAGCGATAAAAAATCTTCATCGTTAAAAAACAGACAAGCTGATAAAAAATGTGCGTCTCCAGAAGTCAACAAGTCCACCATAAGCAACACAATAAAAACAGAAAAATCTAGAGAGTCATCTCGAGGTAAAAAGCGTGAAAGAAGTCAAGATTCTCAGAAGGACTCGAAAAAACGAAAACGAATTGTTGTGGTTTCTGATTCGAGTGAAGAGTCTGAGCCTGAGGAGGACGCTGATCCCTTTGGCACTTCAATAACAGAGGAACCAACTGTGAAACCGAGATCTCCATCGCCTCCGTCTGTAGTGAGAATCGAGGGAAAGAAAAAAGTTCGTAAAGTTGTGGACAAACATTTTGTGGATGAGGATGGATTCATGGTCACAAAGAAGGTTCAAGTGATGGAGAGTTGTTCTGAGGATGAAGAAGCTCCTGAACCTCCTAAGGAGAAGAAAGCAAATCCCCCCAAGAAATCAGAAATTTCTAAAGTGAAGAAGAACACTAAGCAACAGTCGATCACGAATTTTTTCAAAAAATCGTAGAATTATGCTCCAAATTCAAAATGAAGTGGTAAAACTGGTCAAGCTCGCATTCATCATTTTCCTCGTTTGAATTAATGGTTATTTTGTGTTATTTAACGAGTTGTTCAACTCGCCCAATAAATTTACAATCAATTAAAATATTTTATGCGCTACGTTTTACCACTTTAGACTAAAAATATTCTCGGCAGGTCGTATCAGTTTCTTTCATCCCGGTATGCCTAATCAATTTTGTTTATAATCTTTCCAGTCTTTTAAAATTCTTATTGTTTTGACAAAATGATGGTATGGTTCAGAATGAAGATAGATCATGAGTTATCAAATAACCATGAGTCTTCTTGGTTTATAAACTTCCTTTCTGTATTTTTTAAAATTATTTGAAGAAGTGAGTCATAGAATAGTAAGCGTTTGGTTCGAGAAATAGCTATCAGAGTAAAGGCAATGTACAGTACTATGACGCAGAGATAAACTGTTATCGAGAAATGATACTTTTTCATACAGAGACGACTATCATTTTGGAGGTAATTCTCGTGTTGAGAAGGTATTATAATTTGGAGAAAGTACTACCACCGTAGCCAAAGATTTTGAAGGATTTTCGATTGTGCAAAATGCAAAAAGTTTTGATAATTTTTTACCTTGCCAGTGTTTTACATTTATCCATTTGTGATCTGTGCAAAATATGCAAGTGTTCAACATCAGGTACTGCGTGAAGAAATCAATAAATACCAGTTTTTTTAAAATAATTGTTACGACTTATTTCTACATGGGAGTAGTAAAACTTATAACTTATAATCTTTTATATTTTTTGTACGACGTTTAAAATTGTCTCAAAAATTTCACATTTCAAATTTGAAATTTCACTCTTTAAGTTTAAGTATTTCACCATTAGTTTCATTTAAAAAAACGAAGTAGAATTTATGGTCTTACGTATTTTATTGCTTTCAGATGGTTTAATCGAGTATGATTGCGATGGGAAATTTAATCCAAATAGTGATGATATGGATCTCTTATCTTCCATTTATGAAAGTCCGCCAAGTAAACTAATCTTATCAAATAATTGGATTAATAAAACGTCAATTGAGAGAATTGCGTACCTAATTGACTTGGAATTTCTCGTTCTTTCCCATAATAATATAACAGAAGTGGATCCAATAATTCTTGAATCATTTACAAAATTAAAGGAATTGGATCTGTCGTGGAATAACATAGAAAATTTCGATATTGGGGCATTAGCCAAAGGAAGATTTATACAACTGGTCGATTTGAGTCATAATAATATGAAAAGCATCAACAGTTCACTAGAAAGTCCTCTGGAAGTTCTAGACAGCCTGTATTTATCGAACAATCTTCTAAAACAGTTACCGATAAATTTTTTCAATAATTTTCCAAAATTGTCAACTTTGGATTTATCAAATAATTTCTTCACTTCATTCGAATATTACCTTTCCAATGTTGAGGGTTTGAAATTGTTGAATTTGGAACATAATTCTCTTAACTCGTCAATTATGGGAGCTAATCTTCAAGAACTACGGATTGGGTACAATGATTTAACATCTCTGCCTAAGAATTTATCAGTGGAAAGTTTAAGTATCGAAAATAACAAAATTAGTGACATCGAATACGATGAGATGTTGTTCAATGAGTTGAAGTATTTAAACCTCAGTGGAAATCACTTGTCCGTGATATTAAACCTCACACTTCCAAAGTTGAAAGAAATGGACATATCTAATAATGCATTTGTGTCGATTCCCGAGAATTTTATGAGTGACAATTTACCAAGTCTGGAAACACTGGTGGTCAATGGAAATCCCATCAAAGAGCTCAAGTTCCTCAATCAGTTGAATTTACGAAATTTAGTCGTAAAGAATATAACTCTACTCAATGCCATTTATGATGATGCGTTCGACAAATTGAAAGGACATGATGGCAATTGCATTAATATAACTATTTCATCAAATAAGAATTTAAAGGAGTTTGATGAAAAAGCAATTCGTGGCATGAATATTTGTTATGTAAGTGTCATTAAAATTTTATATTGCTCTTGTTAATGGAACGAATTGCATATTTATTGGAGAATGTGAGAATTAATTATGACGAATTATTTTATACGAATTATGAATCATTTTTAATAGGAGAAAATCTTGGAGATGAATGACTTTTAGACAATCACTGCGAAGCTTCCAATAATTTCGTCTAAAATGATTTTACCAATATCAGAAATATCAAAAAACCATGGAACATAATGAGCCAGACATCATATCCCCAAGATTTGTTCCATTAAATTGAAATTTATTATGTATACAATAATCTAATTATTCTACTAGTTGATGAGACAAGATAAAGTATTGAAAGCACTCAAGAAAAGGAAATTCACTTTTTTTTTTTAATGTTAATCTATGTAATTATTTATAGTTGGATCTCAGTGACAACGGCTTCACCAGAGTTTCGCAAAAATTAGAAAAGATCTTGAATGGAACGTTACCAGAATACGGAATCAATTTACAAGGGAACCCATTCATCTGTGACTGTAAATCTGAGTGGATGCTGGAGGAATTAGTTCCCAAACTCTATGCTCTCAATCCTGAACTTCTCATTGATCTCAAGTAACTGCTATTTCATGAGATTCAATAGACCGCCTTTTTCTCTCGGCAAAATCTCGTTAATTGAACATTTCAATACTTGCAGTTTTATATTTTGCAGGTTTAGCAATCTAATATGTAATTTGGGATAAATCAATAGCGAACCGGTAAGACGATTCAAGTCGAAAGAAGTCAATTTTACAGAAGAGCCGAAAAACTAATTGTCCTGTTGTGAATTTTTCCATATTAATTAATGAATTTCATTTTATTTTGGCTGAGTTGTGTATATTAATATTGTAACCATTTCTTTCTCAAAATTTGGCGACTTAGCCCAAATTGTGTTTCACGCTTTCTTTTTCAAATTATTATTCTTTCCTTTACGTCGACATAGCTCGTTCAGAATTTAATCTATTATATTTCACTACAAAAAAGTTATTTTATATATTTTGAGGCTTGAACTCTTTCGGTGAGATGTGCGTGACGCTCTCGAGACATCATTTCTGTGAGGAACTCATTTTTCCATAAAAATTTCTTGAAGAGTTTTACCGCTTTGCTATTGAAGTATCACAAATTTTTTTGAAGCTGAAAACTTAGAACTTTTATAGTAATTGCTGTTGTAATTGTGCAGTTGTAATTGTACCTCTGATTTGTCTGTAGATGCGCAAGTCCACCGAAATTGGTCGGCAAGAGAATGGTCCACTGGATGCAATGGAAAGGCCAAGTCTTCTGCGATGATACTTTAACTGGAAGTGACTTTAGCCGTCTAGAAGTATTCGAAGGCAGCAGGCAATTTTTCAATAAGAAAAATGAAATCGCTCTAAAATCTGGGGGTGGAATGCTCCTAATTGTTATCGGTGCTGTTGTTACTCTTTTACTCCTTGTTCTTAGTGGTATGATTATTTCTTACAAGTCTGCACTCCGCAGAAGACGTGTAAACCGAAGATTATGAACACTATTTTAAATAATAAATAAACGAAATAACAGCATTACGAACAAAGTCCAACGTCAACTAAAAATGTACATGCTGAATGGAAAGAACAATCAACAGCAATACAGAAAGTAAATTTTCGCTTTTTTTGTCAATTAATTTTTCTTCAAGAAATCATTACCATTTGCTGTATAATTGAAAATGTGCCCATGGTAATCCATTCAGAAAATGGAGAAGATCATAAACTAGTCATAGAGCCACTATTTCTAGTCTTATACAATGAACGTATTTCTAATAGCAAATAGATAATGGGAATTATCATTAAAGTCCTTTTGATTCGTTGTCTCTACTTAGCAAATGATTGATGAGCTCAAATTGTTCAGTTTTTTTTCAACAAGCGCTTCAAGTACAAGTAGTTCTAAACAAAATATATTTGTACAATAATCAGTGAAATTCGGGAATTCACCTATTGCGTTTTCACAACTAATTAAACACGAAGAAATTAATAAAAACATACAAGTATTCACATTTTGAAAAGGATATATTATTTGGCAATTTTATTTCATCCTTATATTATAATGATACAACACAAAATAAATATCATTTTATTCTTTGTTTTTCTTTCTCGTATGTTAGAGGAGTTGAAATCCTTTTATGACAACCCTAAGGGTTCTACAATATGGGAATAAACTAGAATTGACATGATATTCTTGTTTGTATAAAGATGCAGTAAGGGTAGGTGGGACCAAATAAATTTCTATAAATCATTCCATCTCTACAATTAAATACTTGGATTCAATTAATTTTATCTGCTTTTGAAGCCCCCATAAAACGAATATAGAAGGAAAAAACCTGCAAATTCTGAATGATCATTATTAATAGTAATGAAAGATTCATTTTGTTCAATAAGCCCCCCTGTGCACGCGTGAAATCGATCATTTTTAAATTGAAAAGAAAAGTTAAATATGAAAAGAAAATCATTTATAAAATAATCTGAAGATCGATATTGGGTTTAACACATTCAACGTCTTCACTACAAATAGTATAAAGTAATTCTTTATGTTACTGCATGCATGCGAATTTTTGACTCATCCATATTTCACTCTAAATTTGATCAGTGTACGATCAGTACGCAATCATTCAAGTAATCATATGAAACTCTTATCTATTCTATCCATGGACAGAAATATTAGAGGAAGATTTTTGGTTATTCAACCAATAGAGTCCTTAAAAAAAATAATAATCTATTTATATAATCACAGCAGTATCTCTCGAATTATTAATAATCTGTATTAATTATTTTTGGTGTTTCCGGTTGTTAAGTGGAATGATTTCATAACGGTCTTTCATGAATTTAAACATTTCAACAAATGAATAGTTTCAAAAAGATTTACAGGCATAAAAAACATTTCTATTAGAAATTTCTTTGTATAAATGTCAGCAAAATGATTCTCTATTCATTTTAAAATATATTTTTCTCATTTCCATGTGCATATGATTATTCCACTCAACTGCAGATGTGATGAACCATTTTTTGGACGCAATTTGTGCAGAAAATAAGATTACAATCCAGCACTAAATGTCGTCTATCTGATAGACGTGACTAGCTGGCACACGCAACGCTGGTTTTTGTCTAAGCTCATTGATAAATGTTTGTAGGTGCTGGTAATAACCGTCCTGATTCCACGTTTCGTTATGTGTGCCTCCTACTATAGAAATTAAACGTTTGTAAGAACTACCACATTTTTTATGCAATTCCTTCATCATGTGCGGTGGCACTAGTTTATCCGATAGTCCCGACATAAACATTGTGGGAACTGTTATAAAACGCACTTTTCTCACTGACATAAATTGATTCTTGTAGCAGATTAACGGTAAATAATTGAGTAATATTGAGCTAACCAAAATTGAAGCCATGTCGGGAATACTGGTAAATGTATTCTCCAAAATAAGACACCAAATGTTTCGTTCGTTATCGAGCTTTGTTGCTAAATCAATCGCTACTGCACCACCTGTAATAAACCAAAGAAAAAATAACGTGAATTTAATAATCCAGATAAAATTGTCATTGAGTTATGAGAGGTATGAGATTTGTATATCAAAAAAAGATTTATAAATAAAGGTCTCGAAGCAAAATCATTCACAATTACATTTGGAAGGTAAATTGAAGAATACCAGAAATATAATATCGCCCATATCTCTTGGGAAACTAATAGTCCACAAATTTTTGTAATTATGGAATTGATAATCAGAAGTTAGTTAAAAATAAATACTTTTTAGCTTTTCTATTTTACTGATAAAAATCTGGGGATTAGTAGAATATAATTGAATAATATGTATCCGTTACCTAAAGATCTACCAAATACTATGATTTCAGAAGTATTTATATCATTTCGAGTTGTTAAAAAATCAATTCCTGCTTGCGCATCCATGTATAAACCCTCTTCGGACGGACTACCTTCGGAGAGGCCATACCCTCTGTACTCCAGCATCAAAACATTACAATCGGCATTGTGATACAATCCAAAGACATTTTTCAGTCTGAAAAAGAAATTAAAATTAATAAATTTTATGGTAATATAAAATTAAATGTAATGAAAAGCCATTAGTATCTCTCTGAACTCTCCTGAACTTTCGGCAGCTCACAGTTGCTTAAATTCAAAATTCCGTTGAATTGAACTTGAAGCTAATGAAAAAATTCAGAAGGAGTTGATAGAAATTATAAGAGGAAGGGTGATGATGATGAATTTACTGATGAAGAATTTACCTATGACCAATATTTCCTGCGTTTCCGTGCAAGAATAATATTGTGGGAGATCGTTTGGCTTTTTCTCCAGGTTGAACTATAAAGAACATATGAAGCATCGTACCATCACGTGAACGTGTGTAGACACTTTGGTACGGTAATTTGAATATTGAAGGAGCTGGCACGTAAACACGAGAATGCTCTGGCAAATCGGGCCGGTAGAGTAATTGATCTTGCGTTTGATATAGAACACCTAAAAGATTTAGAACAATTTATTATGTATTATTTGCTTTGAGTAACCAACGCTCTAGTCTCTCCTACGTTGGATCTATAGCAGGACGGAAAAATGAAAATAAAAAATCGAGTGATCAACTCTTGCTCTTGCTGCATTACAATAATCCCATTGAATTTTTCATCACCGTTTTGAATTCCTTTCATTTTTAAAGTAGATCGTATGAACATTTGAGGATTGAAATGAACTTTTTGAATTAATTACGAATTTTCCTTGGGCGTTGAAAAATAAAAAATGTCATAAGTATCGCATAATTAGGCATTTTTTATGGATCGTCCAATGGAATGTGTTAGAATAATTAGTAAAATTGATAGCATACCTGTTGTGGCAAAGCACAGGAGTAAAAATGCTAATACTCCTCCATACAACCAATAGAGTACAATGCAAAAAAGTATGTATGCACCAGAATAAGCCCAGCACTTGATGGCAATTCCCCCGATAAATCTGACTGGTGCACTGCGCGATAATCTACCGCGAAGTGACATTTTCATGGCTCAATTTATTCTCCTTTATATCTTAATAAGCCATCAGATAGTTATACATTTTTATTTATCACGCGACTGTCACCCTAACCCCCCTAACCTTCTCCAAGGAGTGACTGATTTCGTAACTACGTCTCTTCGAACACAATTCATTGTTTATCTTCAATAATTACTTTCTTTCAATAACTGCTCCAACGAAACTATTCAATGTATATTGATCTCATTTTTTCACTTATAATTCACGTATCAGTTTTTGTGGTTTGTTTTTCCCTCTGTCATTATCTCAAAATTTATGGTCTATTTATTTTCTCGGCATTTATGCGATCACGAACGATACGAAATATGTAGAATAGGAATTTCCGAGAACCTCAAGTTTTCGCGCTTAAAAAACTTCTTTACCATATGAGATTGAATTCAACCTTATCAGAAATTTGTCAATTTAATATTTAATTCCAAAAGAAAAATATAGAAAGCTTTTTTTCGAACGATTTCTCCACTTATGTAAAAATTTTGGGTCATTTTTGGAAAATGAGAATTTATAAGATCTTTTTTATCCCCTCTGCACAATGACTTTAGTTCGGACCTTTTGGAGGTCTCATAGTTATCCATCTACACATCTGTCGAGTTCGTGTTTTCGATATTAACAAAAACGACGAAAACCACAAAAACGACCACTTCGAGCACTTGCTAAAGAAATTTGTGCAATTAGTTGTTATACTCCGGTGTTTGGAATTGAAAAACAAATTTTTATTCAAGCGATCGAGGGAGAAGGTAAATACTGCAATGGCTCAGATAATTGTGGAACCTGATGCTGTCGGCGTTGTCTCTAAATTAGCCGAAATTATTGAAAAAAACGCAAATGATGCAATCAAAGCCAATGACATCTTCAAAATTGGATTATCAGGTGATAATTGAGAGTTAATTAAAAGGAGCTAAATAAGAAAATTGGATTTTTAATTGTAATGTGAGAGGTGACAATCCCATAATACTGTAGTTTTTTCACATATTAGAAAATCATCTGGAAATATCTTCAAGTTTTTTTTGTAGAACCAATCATAATAAATATTAATAATCGCTGAAGTTAATAGGCAAGTGATAAAATCGAATACGTAACTTTATTCTATTTGACGGATATTTACAAATTCAGAGGTTATTACAAAATTTGTTTGTGAAAATATAACTTTTCTTAATTTGTAACAGAACCAGCAAAATCATCCGATCGATTTGAAATTTATTCAATTTTAAGTTATACGCCTTTACAATGATGAAATTAACTTTTTAAAATGATTGAAACGAAAGATTAAGAATCAAACGTACATAAATGATATATCGTTTAAAATGTTGAAGGTTTGTTTTTGATTGATAGGTGGATCACTTGTGAAATTTTTATCGGACGGATTGCCAGCAATCACAACTGATTGGAGTAAATGGCGGTTTTTCTTTTGCGATGAACGAGTTGTGCCATTTGACCATGATGATTCAACCTTTGGAGTTTACAAAACCAATCTCATAGACAAAATTCCCATAACTGAGGATCAATTCATAACAATTGACTCGGATTTTTCTGGTAAGACTTTCAATGATTTTTCGGCTTGGTCGAAAAATGATGTTATAAATCATTGAAAAAACTGGAGAAACCTTTATGAAATAATTGCGTGAATAAATTTGACAAAAAATTTGGTAAGAAAGTTGGTTTATGATTTCAGCGGTTGAGGCTGCCAACGATTACATAAAAAAGATGGCAGTGTATTTTCCCCCAGACAGTTTACCACGATTTGATTTGCTTTTACTGGGGATGGGACCTGATGGTCACACTTGCTCACTCTTTCCCGGTCATCGACTTCTTGAGGAAACTAGTCGGTGGGTCTGCCCAATCAATGATTCCCCAAAACCACCTCCCTCAAGGATTACCCTCACCTTTTCAGTCATCAACAATGCTAAAGCATGTATATTTGCTATTACTGGAGCTAGCAAGGCAGATATGGTTAAGGTGATTTTATCAAAATAGTTTGAATTTATCTTCCAAATTCGAAAGTTCGTATTGAAACAAAAATATTTACAACAATAATGGGTGCTCTATTGATTCACTTCTGAAACTGTAAAATTTTCAAAGTAATGGATTTCAATCAATTATACTAATCCAGTAAATTCCGGCAGAATATTACCTCGGTAATGAATAGAAAGAATCTATCGAAGCTTCTTTTACATTAAAGTTATTCATATTAAGGCCCGGGTGGACTACCTATAGAACGTCATCTTTTGTTTAAATTTTATCTTTCTAGCCTAAAATACATAAAAATTTGGGATAAGTTTTGAGGTCACGAAAATCACTGGATTTGGCATGAAAAAATAATGAAAAAAAAGAGGAAAAAATTTTGAAGGGCGCTAAA